ATAGTTCAGCAGCAGTATTTGACAAGTGCAAGGTCTTGAGTTCAATCCCTGGTAACAAAAATGAAAGAAGGTGGTGGGGAGAACATTATATATATAAACTTGGATGCGGGTGGAAAAGACTGTAAGTATGCTTAACAGGGTAAGATCCAAACAAGCTGTCACAACGTTTGGCCTGCTTCTCAGCAGCCCAGATAAAAAGGAAATGGTCGGGGCTGGTGAGATGGCTCAGTGGTCTAAAGCACCTACTTAGAACAAGCTTAGCAAAGCACAGGGACCGCGGTTCAATCCCCCAGCACCACATGCCAGCTAGCCCCGCCCCCTGGTGGGCTGAACTGGCCACACACACACACACAAATAAAAAATTTAAAAAAAAAAAAAAAAAAGGAAATGGTCACCAAGTAATTCTCTGTAGAGGAGAGAAAAAAGCACAGTTCCCCAAGAAAACCCAGACTTGTTAATAGATGGTATAACTTTGGATGCTCAACATATGCTTACATTAAAAAGATAAAAGATTATACAATCAGGAAAAGATGAAACATGTAAAGGAAAGTACAAAATTATAAATATTTCTAATTGCAATAATGTAAAAACATGATACATTGCAAGAAAACCTACATAATGCCCTCCTTTCCCTCTCCCCAACACAGCTATGAGTTCTTGGACCAAAAGACCACAGCCCACTTCTCCGTACCACAATGCTGGGGAACACTAGACAGCTTACAGCAGTAGGGTGTGGTTCTGTGTACCAGTACTGGGCCTCGAGCCCAGAGGTGCACCCTCACCGAGCGCCATCCCCAGCCCTTTTTATTTTTTATCTTGAGGCAGGTCTCCCTGAATTGCTCAGGCTGGCCTTGAACTTCCAGTTCTCCCTCCTCACTCTCTGGAGTGGCTAGGGCAACAACGTGTGCTGCTGGGCTTGGCCCAGTGGGTTTCTTCCTCTTGGCAGATCTACTTTTCCTTTTATTGGTACATGTTTTCAGTGTAAGTACCGCGTGCTAACTGACTGTGACACTGGAGCTAAGGCCTGTTTGCAGTAGACGACCTCCACGCTCATCTGGGGGAGCTTGTGCATTAACATGCTAGCGTCATTTTTTTTTTTTTTTAAATTTTACGTACTGGTACAGGGTCTCACTAAGCAGCTCTGACTCCCAGTGATCCTCCTGTTTTCCGCTTCCCCCACGCTGGGATTACAGGTGTGTGCCACTACGCCCAGTCTCAGTATCCAGCTCAGTGTGCCCAGGGCTGGTGTGGCATGCTGCCGGGGATCAAACCCTGGTCCCTGCGCTTGCTCAAGCAGGTGCTTGGACCCCTGAGCTATCTCCACAGCCTCCGTCATTTTCAATTCCCTCTCCCTCCTCCCTAGCCCCTGCCTCTTGATATTTTTAACTGTATGAGTGTGTCTAGATTTACCAACTCACTAGAGAGAACATTTGGCTTGCATAGGAAAATGGCAAACAGATGACACAAAACGATGAAGACAAAAACTGTTTCCTGACATCACTGTCACACTATAAGTGGCAGAATTGATTACTTGAAAAGCACCAAACTAAACTTCCTCAAATTGCAACCTCCTTATTTCATATTTCACATCATATATATTTTAGATCCTTCTTTAAAGCTCACTCAAACCAGCAAAAAAAAACCTTCTAAAGTTCACTCAGTGTTAAGTATTGAGAGTGTTACTGCTACTTTAACATAGGAAATACTATATAGCATGTTTCTAAAAGCTTTATTTATGCTAGAAAAATAAAAAAATTCATGTTAGCTCAATTTTTTAAAAAAATAGAACCACCAGAAATCTCCAAAAATCAAATATTACCCACAAAATTGTAATTTTTATAAACTCAATTTTTCAGTGTTAAATCATACCACATGATAAATTCCACACAACTGAAAACCAGAAGTGTACCTTTAATTCAGTTCCCATTTCTTTTTTTCTTGTTTCTCAGACAGTAAATAACTGCAACCAAAATTTCCCCTTTTGACATAGGAAGTGGGCTTGGAGCACAGCTTGGACCCATCGCGGCTGCGTCCGAAAAAGGATGTGTGCCCTGAGCCGTCAGGTAGAGCTGTCTGCACCGCTCGGTGTGGCTGCGGCCCCAGAGCCAGCACAGTGCGTCAGCCTGCATATGTGACCCACACACATCTGTGTACATGGACCGCCACGTGCACAGAAACAAAGCTCCGGAATCCAGACAGTGGCTACCAGGGGATAAAAACAGTAATTTTTTTTTTTTTAAATCTTTTTATGCATTTAGTACAGGGTCTACAGAGTCTCACTATACAGATCAGACTTGTAGTGATCCTTCTTGCATTTCAGCCTCCCAAGTGCTGGGATTACAGGCGCTTGCCACCACCCTCAGTGTCAGTCGCTGTTTCAATGCACCCCGGGGATGGAACCCCCAGCCCCTGTGTCTACCTAAACAGGTGCTCTAATCTGCTGAGCTATCTGGCTGGCCCTCTAATTCTTTTGTATATCTGGAAATTTTTCTAAGCAAAAGCAGAGGGAGCTGGCCATGGTGGTGCACGCCTGCAATCCCAGCTCCCTGGTGGTTGAGGCACAAGAATCACTGTGAGCTCGGGGCCAGCTCGGGCAACAATGCAACACCCTGTCTGAAAATAAAATTTAAAATGGACAGTGATATAGCTCAGTGCTCCCTGGGTTGAATCCTCAGACTGGGAAAGAAAAGTTTTTGGATTAAAATGAAAATATAGGCCAGCCATGGTGGTGCAGGCCTGTAATCTCAGCTGAGGCAGAAGGATCACTGTGAATTTGAGACCAGCCTGGGCTGCAAAGTTAGCTCAAGGCCAGCCTGAGCTGCATAGTGAGACCCTGTCTCAAAACAACTAAATAAATAAGTAATGAAAATACAACAAGCAACACCTTCTGAGAGGAATAAGAGAATGGGGACCACAGAACATGACAATTCCAAAATGCAGGATCTGATTCACTGGACTGAAAAACACATCTAGCACACTAAAAGGACACATTCTGAGACTCTGAACATTCTGCTGACGTCACTGCCTCCCTTCGCTGAGAGGCTCCTCCGTTTGGCTACCCCTGCATTTGTTCCTTGTGCTGCAAGCGGCAGGCTGGGGCGGAGCGCAGGGCCTCGTGTGCAGGGCCAGCGCGCTGCACTGAGCTGCATGAGCCCAGCCACTAGACACGGACCTTTAACTTTGGGCTACAAAGGGCTCATGTGCTCCAGAAAAAACGAGCGGCTCACTCCATTTAGTTACTTTGGTTAAAAAAAAGAGACCAGCACTTTCTTTAAATATAAAAACAATTTTATGATATTGACTTCAAAAATGTAATTTCAAACATAAGGCAATTCCTCCTCCATTATATTTCTGTCACAGAAGCGCATTACTTAATACATATAAGCATTTTAGTCAAGGCATCCTATCCAAAATTAAAAGAAAATTTTCTACTGACAGCTCGGTACCTGGGCCCAGGGACATAGCTCAGCGGCACAGCACCTGCACCTAGCAAGTGCAAGGCCCTAAGTTCAATTCCCAGGACAAAAAAAAACTTTGTACCTCAGGAATCAAGATGAAAATTTAACCTATTAAAGTCATGAAAAGTAGGTTAGTTCTGCCAACTGTGCCTTTAGTGCTTGGTTCTAAGTACCAAATAATCCCTGATATGAAAGCACAATCAAGTCTGGATTAAAACATTATCTTCAATACCTGATCAGTTTCTTCCTTTTTAAACAATATCTTACTACGTAGCCCAGGCTGGCCCTGTACTTATAGCAATCCTCCTGCCTCAGCCACCGAGTGCTTGGATGATAGGCGCGTGCCTCTGCACACAGCCTTGCCTTATATTTTCTTCCTTAAATAAGAGAATGTTCAACTCTTAAAATATATCAAAAGCTTGTAATTGCCACAAAACTGTTCCTCCAGATGAGTGGCACTCACAGCAATGTGACTCCAGGGATGGAACTGTGTGTCCATTGTGGAGTCCACTTCAAGCTCCCCAAGCCCTTCAGGTCTAGAGCAGAACCCATAATAGGGTCATCAAGGTCACTTGGTGTATGTGATGCTAACCCAGAAAGAGGAAAGGGCTCTAAATAACTCAAGACTAAAAACACACAGACATGGCGGCATAGGCTTATCTGGTTTCACTGTTACCAAACATCCACTACCTGCCTTCTAGGCTACTGGGAACAGGCGCAGGAGCTCCCCAAGGCTAAATGCCAGGCTCCCGACACCTCTCCTTCAGCTCTATGAGGCCTTCTCTGTTGTGCAGGCTGCACGGAGTCCTCCGTGAGGTGAGGGCCCTGTCGAGAGTGGCAGCCCCTAGAGCAGAGTCATTATGGAGCCTTGGCGACCACGTGTGCAGACACTGCCCGGCCAGCTCTTGCCCCTGTGGATTCTAAAAGTCTACCATGCTAGGAAGGGAAGCTCTGTCTTCCTATATCAATGTGAAAACAGGTCACGAAGCATCGCACTGCTTTTCTAACTGCAATTTGATCTGGTTCATCTTCATTAGCCAAAAGGGGAAAAAAAATCTTTGGGGCTTGAAACAGAAGTCAAGAATAACCTGAAATTACATTAAAAATGAAATGGATCTGAAAAATGAACTTCTGTTCCTCTAAGAGCCACCACCTTTCCATTAGAAGGAAACAAAACAGAGACTTGTCACATTTTATATATACTTCAAAGTTTAATTTCTCTTAAATTTCAAAGCAACACAGAAACGATGGAACTTTGTGTGCTTGGCCAAAATAAATGAGAAGTTACCCACACAAACATGCATAACAGCTGTCACACAATGGTCACTAGAGGAGGCTAACCTGAGGAAGTGACCTCTGTGATGCAGCCACTGTACACCTGAGTTCGTACAGGGGAAAGAAGTCCTAGCACCGAGGTCCCCTTGGAGTCTGGGCTGACAGCTGCAAGCACCACGTGGAACCTTGTCAAAGGTCAGGAGAAGGCCCTGGCCTCCTAGAGCCTGCTCTGAATGTGTACTTAGAAGGAGAGGCAGTCTTACTTACTCTGGTCAGCATAGTTTTTTGCTTTGAGTTCAAGTTGTCTTGTTTGAGATTCTAGAGATTCCACTCGGGTCTGTAAATCCTTTTTTTCCTGTTCTTGAGAATCTTCAAATTCAATGAATTTCTAATAAAGAAGAACAACATACACTTTCATCAGAGAAATGAAATCGGTTGGGAAGAGATGTACCTTGGTGGTACAACCAGATTGTTCCAGAATACCATACCCCCAGGCTGCTGGGATTCCAGGCCTGCACCCCACCAGCCTCAGCAATGAAATCTTCCTATATTTTCAAGTTGTGCATTAATCAACACCAATTTGGTATTAACTACCTAGAGACATGTAAGAATCATGAGTTTAGGTTGATTTAGTCTTCTTAAAAGTCATTTAAAAACCTCCAAATATATAAGTAAAAATGTGACAAAAATAATTTGTTTAGTAACATGTTTTTATTTCATGTAATAGGAATTCCAAAGGAAATACATATATCTGACTACAAACACATAAATGCATTATACTTGCATATTCATCTTGACTTCAAGTCATAATTTTTAACCCCTAACACCAGCAAAGATAGAATAATCAGCAAATATTCTCTAAACAATTATTTGACTGGTAAGCAGTCTCGGGGACAGGCATGTACCTCAGTGGCACGGCACTTGGGTAGCACGTGTGAGGCCCTAGGTACAGCCGCAGCAGTTAAAATACATCGGTAATAACCAGTCTTGGAGATGGACTTGAACTGGGCGTTTAAGTGCCTAAGAAAAGGACCCAGCCTGACTATCTCCACCAACCACACCAAATCCACGCACATGCGGGATCACGTGGCCACGGTCTTGCTCTCTTAGACAGCAGCACCTGGGAGGTGATGCACGCCCTCGCCCTCGCCCTCGCCCTCGCCCTCGCCCTCGCCCTCCAGGCTCCCGCCACCCCAGCCTCCGCGCTTTCCTCCTCTGCTGCCCTCGCTGCTTGCTCCTTCTGGCCCTCTTCTCTGGTGCCTGCTCTTCTTCCCAACTTCACACGGGTGTACCTGCTCCTCAGACAGATTTTCTTCTTCCTTGTTTACTCATCCCTCAGTGATCTCTCCCATTCTCATGGCCTTAAACACTAACTGTATGCCGGTAACTCTCAAGTTCCCATCTGCAGCCCCGTCCTGAGCCTCACATTCATGTGTCTAAACAGCCTGTCGGGCCCCTCCGTCCAGGCCTCTGATCTCGCTTAGGCTCAGTGCATTGAAGTCTTCTCCTCCCTGTCTTCTCTGCTCATTCAGTCACCATGGTCAGGCACGCAGGCCTAGGACTTTGTGGTCAGCCTGGGCTTCCCTTGTCCCTCCCCTGCAGTTCATCTGCACGCCCTGCTCCACGTCTCCATTACCTGCTCCCCGTTACTGCCATGGTAGGGATCTCCTAATGGCTCTCCTCTCCTGCTCCTCTCTGCTGCCTTGAGCTAAGACCGCTTTCTCCTCTGCTGAAGGCCCTTCGCCAGCTTCACCTTTTGCCACAGCCCTACCCCATGGCCTCCCAGGGCCCAGCCTCCTCCCACCTTCCTCCTCACCTTCCTCCTCACCTTCCACATCTCCCCGGTTACCTGCTCCTCCCTCCTTCCCATTCTGACTCCAACTCCTGGCGGTCTCAGCGCTATAAGCCGCGGCACCGGCTTCCCGCTGCTGCAATGGCAGCTTCCTCCTCACAGACCCCAGCTTGCTCCTGCCTCGCCTCCTTTGTGCCCTTGCTCAAATGTCACCTTCTCAGCATACCCCTCTTTGATGCACACCCTGTTCCCCCTCCTCACTTTCCTTCAGGACACCTGTCAACGGCCAGCAAGCTGCACACTGTAGGAATTGGCCTTATTATGCGCCATTCTCACTAGACTGTGAGCACCACGAAGGTAGGCCTTTCTGCATCACTCACTGTTGACACCCCAGCTAGCAGTACACAGCAGGTTCCCAGCCCAGTCCCACCCGGCCCACAGCCTCTCGGCTGCTCACAGCCAGCGCAAACTTCCCATTCCTGTTGGTTCTTGTCTCGTGCTTTACTACATCTTAAATGCTAACTATGGGTCACAACAAGGTTAAGAGTGATAACACTAAGTCTGAAAGGCTTATGTTAGTCCACTACAAAGTTAATTCCAAGTAAAATGTGAATGTGAAGGCAACTTTCAAGATCGTTTTTCTTTCTTTAGAGATAGTGTCTCGCTATGTAGCTCAGGCTGGCCTCGAACTCAAAGTGATCCTTCTGCCTCTGCCTCCCAAGTGCTGAGACTACAGGTGTGAGCCACCATGCCTGGCTCACAAATTATTTGTAATTACATTATTTCTTTTGGGGAAAGTCTGCTCATTACTTGTTTGTTTGGGCACTCATCAATAGTTCTGGAAAGAACTGACTAGAACTGAGGTATGTGTTATGTTTGTGAAATGAATGAATAAATGAATGAATGAGTGAATAAATACATAGATACAACTTTCATAGTAAAAAACTGAAACCCATATAGGAAAATGCATAATTCACATGCAAAACCCCTCAGGTCTCACTGCCTGTACGACCTAGCTTTCATGTGTACTTTCCCGACTTTATCTGTCTTTGGTGTTTCAGTTACTGTGGAGGACACAGTTGGCCAGCACATGCTGCCTTCCTCTAGGAAAATTCCTCTCCGGCTGACGCTAATTGTATTCAGCCCATGGAACCGGATTGCTGTGACTCTCTCCCCAGGGGAGACAAGACAGTAGTCAGAACCTTTCTGGGACAGCTGCCGGTTATTAAGAAAATACTACCTGCAGTGGCATAGATATGGCTTGTCCCTGCTGAAATTCATGAAGAAGTGATTCCCAAGAGAAAGGTGCTGAAGGCAGGGGACTTTTCAGAGGCGATTAGGACTTTTCAGCAGGTCATGCCTTCCTGTGAGCCGTGAGCTCCCCTCTGGCAGGGCTGCATTAGTCACTGCAAGTGCAGGTTGTTACCAAGCAGGGCAGCCCTAGTGTTCTGTCTTCTACAAAGCCCACTTTCGCTTCCTCTGTGCTGAGCTGAAGCTGGGGGTGAGTCACCCATTGATGCAAGTGCCCGTCTTGGGTTTCTCAAACTCAGAACACAACTCAAATCAACCTTTTTTCTTCATAGAAAACCCAGACTCAGATATTCTGTAACAGCAGCAAAATGCAGACTGCGACACCAACTTTTCCTGTGCTGGCACCTAACAGATGCATGCTGCACGCTGATACCTTTCCTCTAAGAGGAGGCCTGAACCCTGTCTTAGCAGTTAGCCTGCTCCCCATCCCCATCCCCATTCCTTTTCTCCAATAAATTTTCCTAGTCTTAAAGAAAGAACAGGTCTGAGAATAGACAATCTAGGGGGAAAAAAGAGCAAAGGAAAGAAAAATCTAATTTTTTCCAATTCCATAAGCCAATGAATTCCTTTTTAATATATGCCTATTTGAACTTGTTTCTATTACAAGTAAAAGCACCCTGATATAGTTATGCACTTTCTTTCCCTCCACAGCCATTTATTCCAATGCTGTCTTGATTGTTGAAGCTTCAAATCTTCAACGACTAAAGCAATAGTTCTTGGGCACTGGGCATCCACAGACCCGCTTAGAAAGCTAGTGAATCTGGCTGGAGTGCACACCTGCAGTCCTAGCACTAGCAGACTGAGGTAGGAGGACCACTGTGAGTTCAAGGCTAGCCATGACTATATAGTGAGATCCTGTAAAAAAAAAAAAAAAAAAAAAAGAATTTATAAACTCTATTTCTTCAATACAAACTTCTTCTGCCTGCCCTATCAGACTCTCCCTTCAGCGGCTCAAGGACCTGGCACACCCTTTGCCAAGCCCCAGGGCGAAGCACACTTGCCCATGAGGGCGTTCCAATTTGTGCGGCTTCTACAGAAATCCATCGAAAGCGGTTGTTCCTTTTTTCAGAACCTTAATCAATTGAGGACTTTACATAGGAGTACAGGTTATAGCAAAAATAAGTGGAAAATGGATAAATCTTTCATTCAAGAAGCATCAACAGGCCAGCAAGATAGCTCAGCAGGCTAAGTATCTGCTTATGCAAGTGCAGGACCAGGGTTGGATCCCCAGCACCACAGGCTGCACCCGCCCCAAGTCCAAGCGTGGCGGTGCACGCCGGTAATCCATCCCAGCAGTAGGGAGGCTGAAACAGGAGGATCACTATGAGTCTGAGCTGCATAGTGTGACCCTGTATTACGTACGTTAAAAAAAGAAGAAGAAGAAAAAGAAGCAGCATCTATGAACTGCTTAGTATCTGCCCGGGACACAGCTGTGCCTTCCATGCTCACTGGCTACAACTGAACCCAGGCAGATGGGGTAAGATTGCATTACCAGAAGAGCAGTGCCTCGGATGTCTACGTTATTTCAACAATTTTGCCTGAGTATATAAACAAGAACTAAGAGTAAATAAGAAATGTAATTGTCGGGCTGGGGAGATGGCTCAGTGGAATAAGCGCTTCCCTGGCAAGTGCAAGCCTGAGTTCAATCCCCGGTAAAAGAAATGTAATTGTCTTTTGGCCTGCTTTGAAAGGGCTACGCTCTTGGCAATCGAAGTGCTAGCTCTGGGTGATTCTTACTATGCATAGAGCCCTCTGGTGCCACGGGCACAACACTGCTTTAAAGGCGGCACGGCGAATGCCTGTCAAGAAACGGCAACACTCGGGCTGGAGGTGCAGCTCTAGAGGTGGAGGGCTTGCCTCGCCCAGCACCAGAAAAACAAACACGGAAACTACTTTCCTCATTCAGAACTCAGGACGGACACTGCTATGAGCACCACGGAAGTCGCTCCGCTTCTCAGCAGTCCAGTCTAGCTAGAGAAGAGCACGGAAAGCCCACAACTGTCTAGCAGCCACCGTGAGACGCTTCCGCTGTAAACGCCAGCACTCAGCCCCACAGAGATGATTCAAGCTGTGGAACTCTTCACATGTTAAAATGATCACTTATTTGCATCCGAGGAGGATCGTGTTTCAAGGCAGATCCAGACTCAGAAGGCCTGGGATGGGTCCCAGAGTTCTGGGCCTAACAAGATGAGGCCAGGCCGCTGTTCTGTGAGTGGGCAGAACCTAGGACTCTTGCTCTGGCATCTCCTCCTCTCCCCTACATACAGTCAGCAAAAGAAAAACAC